AGAAATATGTTTCTTTTTTTTAAAGTTTTTATTATAAAATAAAACACAAATATATAAATCCACACACTATGAATATATAGTTTATTAAATTACTATTATGTAACTCCCCTTATAACCCCCCTTATGTAACTTCAAAAAGTAGAATTTTGCGAGTCTCTTTAAAACTCCTTTCTATGCTTTCTTTCTCCCTCCAAAAGTAAGCATTATCTTGACTTTTAAAGTATTCACTTCCTTATGTGTCTTTGTGGTTTAATCACCCTAATGCGCATCATCAAATGATATAGTTTAGTTTTGCCCACATTTTAGGATATGTCTATTTAGTCTCTTAATCTATAGCATCCCCTTTCATCCCTTTCTTTCGGTTATAAGCCATCTGTTGAAGAACCCGGATGGCTTGCACTGTAAGTTGTCCACAGTTTGCATTTTGCTGGTTAGATGCATGTGGTATTGGATACCTGGGTGGCTCAGTCAGTTAAGCAACTGACTTTGGCTCAGGTCATGATCTCACGGTTCATGGGTTCGAGCTCCGAGTCGGGCTCTGTGCTGACAGCTCAGAGCCTGGAGCCTGCTTCAGATTCTGTCTCCCTCTCTCTCTGTTCCTCCCCTGCTCGTTCTCTGTCTTGCTCTGTCTCTCAAAAATAAATAAACATTCAAAAAAAATTTTTAGATGCACGTGGTGCAGTTCCTTATGTCATTCTGTATTTTCTGCAAATCACTCGGGAATCCAGAGCCTCCACCCACTTCAGGTTTGATCCCTTTGGCAACACTGTAGCTGGGAATGTGCCATTTTACCAGAAGGTACATAGTGTCTGGTTGTCTTTTGTGTGTGTGTGTGTGTGTGTGTGTGTGTGTGTGTGTGTGTGTGTGATGTTTTCCACCACTGATGTTCATTGCCTAGATTTCTTAATTCATTAAAGGTTGCAGAATGGTGGTATCCTATCATTTTGTTTTCATTTAAGTTGAGTAAGTTTATAAAGTTTCTTCATAAGGAATTTCAGTTCATACAGGAAAGGCAAGATGTAGTCTTGATTCTTTCAAGAGAAATGAGTTGGTTCCTTGACAGCCTCTAAAGGTAACCAGCTAATTGTTTTGTTTTGTTTTGTTGTCATTATAAACTCATGTATTTAAATATATTTGATGAGTTTCAATCCACTGGAATTTTAATCTTTTGTGAAGTTCAAAATGTGTAATCTTTGGCCAAGTGAGGGGCTCCTGAGTTATTTTAACATGACCCTAGTAGTCTTTGATAACTCTTTGCATAATAAGATATTTCAGGACTTTTGGTGTATTTCAGCTTCAAAGTTCTAGCCATTTCCGCAAGAAGCCCTGATTTGTTTTAGTGGAAAATTGTATTTCACAGTGTTCATTGCCATTGGGCTGCCATTGTTTTTAAGCCTTTTCATTGGACAGAACTGGGAAATTGTGTGTGTGTGTGCGTGTGTGTTTTAAAATCTTGTGTTCATATTGATATTTCTTCTTCAGATCTAGGAATATAGGGTTTTTCCCAAACTTCTTCTATATTTCACCTTCTCTCTTCCACACCATTACTCCTCATTAACAAGAGCATAGGAGATAAGAGATAACTTCTCATGACTAATCGTTTGCTTTCTTCTGCCTTTAAACACCATAGTATTAGAACACTAATAGTAATACTACCACCATAATTAAAATTACGTAAAACAGATAAAATATTTTTGTACATCTTCTTCCCTTTTTCTTCTTGTTTACAATGTTGTACTGTATCTTCATTGCCAGAGCCATGTATCTGCTTCATACGATAATCTCCCTCATTTAAACATCATATATTCTTAGTTCTGCAAACAAGTATATATCTAATGCTCACTGTCAGTTTCATGCTGATGTTTTCTGAGTTATTTTGGTTGTTAAAGATCTTTCTCTAACAGATTCTCTGACAGAGTCTCATGAGAACAATATTTTCTGTGTTCTTGCTCATTGATCAAATTTTGTCTGTGCCTTCTATTCTTCAAAGTCAGTTTTGCTGGCTGTAAAATTCTTCACTCACATTTTCTTTCCTTGAGTATCTTAAATTATAGTACTTCATTTTCTTCAGGCATAAACCTTTGCTATTGAAAAGTCTGATGATCATTTGATTTTCTTTCCTGTATGAGCCATTTGTTCTATTTGTCTAAATACACAAGGATTTCTTCCCCTGTTTTTATTTAGAATCCAGTTTTTTTGCCTGACAATTTGCATTAGTCTTCCTAGGTACTGATATATCCTTTCAGAATGTAATTTATATGTATATGAAAGTGTTCATGAATTATGATTTTTAGCATTTGTTTTCTGTTTTGCTTTTCTTCTTCAGGGACATCTGGTAGCCAAATACTGATTTTTTTTTTTTTTTTTTTTTTTTTTTTTTTTTTTTTTTTTTTTTTGTCTATCTTCAGTATTTGTCACTTTTCCTTAAATCTTTTAAAATATTTTTCTAAGAATTTCTTTTGGATTTTAATTTTTTCCTTCTTTTCTCTTTCCATTTCTCTTAAGGCATTCGCTATTGTATTTATTCATTCTTGTTTAGTCTTCTTTTTTTAAAAGAAAGATTTTTCTTTAATTTACAATTCTTAAGTTTCATGACCTCATTGTATATATTTTTTTCTTTTTGTAATTCATGTCTTATTTAATATCTTTTATAATTTTTTAGTGTATTTGAATTTATTTGAGATAGTAGTTTACAGTTTTAATCTGTGTTACAAGTATATGTTTCTGGCATGGTTTCACTGTGTATAAGGAATATTACATTCCTTATTCTTATTTTTCTTATAATAACTTTATATGAGTTTTGACCTTGATAATTTTAAGTTGTTCATTTTTATGTGAACTCACTTTCCTTGACGGTTTTGAAAGAGGCCTGATTGACTTAGCTATTCTAGCTTTACAGAGCTCTCACTTCTGTTATTTTTGTCTGATTTAAAAAATATGGTTGCTTGGCTGGTGACATAACCTGGCTCTCTGCTCACCTCCCCCACTTCTTCTGGGCCTTTTTCTTTTACCTCTGTTGTCCCTGTCAAGTTCAATTTGATTATACTTCCAATAGTTTCTCCTTCATGTGGGACTCTGTCCTGGAAGAGAGGCTTGGAAGATCAATTTTAAGTGCTCACTGCACTCTTCCCTTCAGACCTTCTGGCCATGGGCTCTTCCACTTGCTACCTTATAATTATAGGCATATTATTTCATATTTCTCAGTCCCATTTTCTTCATTTGAAAAAAAAACTTATATAAGAAACATCCCTATCTCATGGTGTTGGTTGGGGGATTAAATGATGTAATATCTTGGGGTGCCTGGGTGGCTCAGTTGGTTAAGCATCCAACTTCAGCTCGGGTCATGATCTTGCATTTGGTGAGTTCGAGCCCCACGTCAGTCTCGGAGCTGTCAGCATAGAAGCCTGGAGCCTGCTTCAGATTTTGTGACTCCCTTCCTCTCTGCCCTTCCACCGCTCATGCTCTTTCTATCTCTCTCTTTCCCTCAAAAAAATGCATAAACATTAAAAAAATTTTAAATGATGTAGTATGTAAAGATCTTACTTGAGTATCGGCCACATTGTATGTATCCAGAATATATGAGCTCACCCATAACCAACATTATTCCTGAGCTGTAGTTTAACACATGCTGCCAAATAAGTAACTAATTAATATTAACTTTGCATAGACTTTATGTATTTTATATGGTGAAATACCAAGCCCAATTCAGAGGTAAACCAAACTAAGTTAGATTGCACACATACATACCTTACAGTAGTTCGTGCAAAAAAGGAATGGAAATTTGTAATTTGTTCAAAGTTCTCCTTCTTCTGACCAATAATAGATATGCATGTGTATGGGGCGCCTGGGTGGCGCAGTCGGTTAAGCGTCCGACTTCAGCCAGGTCACGATCTCGCGGTCCGTGAGTTCAAGCCCCGCGTCGGGCTCTGGGCTGATGGCTCAGAGCCTGGAGCCTGTTTCCGATTCTGTGTCTCCCTCTCTCTCTCTGCCCGTCCCCCATTCATGCTCTGTCTCTCTCTGTCTCAAAAATAAATAAACGTTGAAAAAAAAAATTTAGATATGCATGTGTCACCCTACTAAAAGATTTGCCTGAATACTCCTCAATAGGTACATTTGTTTGGAAAACATCCACATTGTTTACCATCTTCACTTGCATTTATTTGGGTTTTTTCTCTCTGTACACATCCTGAAAATCATGAACAAAGCAGCACTGAGGTAGTTATTCAGGTACAGTTTCTCTTTCTTTCTTTCTTTTTTTTTTTTCATGCAGCTGCCCTGCTTCCCATTTTAACAATGTGGAAATGATATGTAATTATGCATTGTTACATATTCGGATATGTTTATTTTTACTTACCTTAAAGAATAATTCTAAGTACTTCTTTCTGGAGCACAGCAACTATCTCATCATAGTACTTGGGCAGAAACATTTTTGAGATTATGAGAGGTTTCATGTTTCCACTCTATCAAAGTCAAATAATGTATGTAGAAAGGACAGGTTACTGCAAAATGGTAAGATTTTAAGGGTAGCTTCAAGGCCCAACCCTTATCTAAAACTCTCCCCATTTGCTGGTTGATGCCTACATTTCTCTGTTTTTAATGAGCCTTGAACTAAGTTCTGAGTCCTTGAGCTATATCATGATTCAAAACTTCCTGAAGGGAGACATTTGGGCCAATGAAAGAGGAAAAAAGACTTTCTTTAGGAGAGGGCCTATAATATATTAAGCTAAAGGCCACATATGTAACTTTCAAATTAACATTTAATATAGTTAATTCAGAACAGTGTATCAATCATCTCTGTTTTCTTTTGATACGATAAGCACTGGGAAAATTAAAAACAGTTGAAACATTATTTCCATGGCTAATGAGAACTGGGCAGAGTTTAGAAAAATTTTTTATTCTCAGGCAGTAATTTAATCCATATTGCTAAGTGAGTAATAGACTCATAAATACCATTCTTCTATTCCTTAATTGTGTGTGTTTTGTTTTTGTTTTTACTGCAGCTTCGGAAAGCAGTGATGGATCACATATCTGATTCTTTTTTGGAAACCAATGTCCCTTTGCTAGTTCTCATTGAGGCTGCGAAGAGTGGGAACGAAAAGGAAGTGAAGGAATATGCCCAAGTTTTCCGTGAGCATGCCAACAAGCTGGTGGAGGTAAGTCAGGAGAGGCCTGAAGAGTAGAACTTATTGATGGGTTTAGTCTCTACACACGCCCTTTCGAATTTCAGTAGACAGCCCTTCTACGGTTTTCTGGTTTTCCTGGAGAAATAAAGTCCTGGATGCTGCCTTTTTTTTTTTTTTTTTTTTTTAACCTTCTCCTGATTCCATCTGCTAACCAGAAGCAGGTTATCAGTATTCTTTCCTTTCTCTATATCACAATTCTAAACATGTTCTGGAACGCATCTGCTAATTTTCCTGAACAATCGGTAGAAGCTGAGGCAGGAGAGGTAGAAGGGATGCTCCAAAGTGCCGAATGCTAGCTTTGATTTGAGAGAATAGAATTAAAATTGCCGAATGGAGGTTTAAATGCTTCCCTTTTTTTCCTCCTTATCCCTCTCTCCACTCCATGCCCCTCAGCCTAGATTAGCTGGCCACATTATATGCTAGTGAAAAAAGCATCTCACTTTCCCCAAAGAGATATTGGGATTCCTGATGAAAGATCTTGGGACAGTTGGAGGAGTGTAATTTCAGAGTCGTAAGTATATTCTATGTGTTAGAGAAATCTGTGGAGGTTGTTTTATAAATGCAGAATTGTGCTATGTAATATTGGAAAAATATTATTCAAGGCCAACAAAATGAAAGTAAACTGATAACCAGGCTGCTTGTATCTAGGAGCTGAAAACCAACAGCTTGGCAAAGGTTGGATTTAGTGATGTGGACTGACTAGAAACTTAGAGATGTTAAATAGAAAGTGTGTGTGCTTGAAGAAAAGAGTCTAGGAGGGGTGAAGATCCTGGCAAAGTTAGGGAATAGTTATCAGGGCCGGTCTGTAAGCACTTGAAAACAACAACAACAAAACTCTGGTATATCCCCACTTTAATTCACCATGACAACAGTCATCAAGTTGAGTGTGCAAAACCCTGGGCCAGAGTATTGGAACACTTGAACCCTTGAACTTCCCTCCATAATCCCAGTGTCTTGAGGCAACACCAGCCTGGAACTAAAATTAGACCTACTTATGATATCAAGGCAGTCTCTCTAGCTCTGTCTCCACTTGCAAATCAAGAACTCCATCACCCCTCACATTCCACCTACATGTTGCAGGAGTTCACTTAGCCATTGAGGAAGCCAGAGTCTTCTCAAGGTTGACCTTCCTTGTTTTGAGAAAGAGAAGGTAAAAAAAGAGCAGGGTAGAGTGGGAAGGGGAGGAGGAAGAAGAAAAGAAATAATGCCGAATGAATGCTACAAAAGTTTTAAATATTCATATGTAATAAAATAGTAGTATTAACATAGAGATAGACCATCACATTAATGTAACTTCATTGTTTACAAGATAATTGCAAAACTTATAGAAAGCATTAATTAATGATGTGTTGTAGACATTGTGGACAGAAAGAAGGGACATGAGTTCAAAGTTGTGTGATAAACATATCCTATTTCCATTCTTGTCTGTGTCATTCCGTAATCCTGTATGTAGCCTCATTTGAGATAACACTTGAGCTTCAAACTTGATGCCCTGTGTAAATGTGAGCCCAAGTAGCCCTCATGTCTACTCATTCTCCCTTCTCCTATGATAGACCCTGGACCCAGTCACCATTTCCCCTCATCCCATCTGTAGGATTCACTGTAGACGTGACCAGCCACTGTGAGTGATCCCTGACCCTCAACTTGTGGCAGAAGCAGAAGGTCAGTCAGAACTCCATGGTTCAGAAAATCATTGTTTTGCTTCCCTCAGTTATTCCCTTTATTGCCCCTGAGTGGTCACTGCAGGCAGCAGCACTGTGGAATGTCTCCATGCCCAAATAATATAGGAACTAGGGTGGGACTGGCCCGATTGGAGAGGAACTAGAATAAAAAAAAACATTTCTGTAGGTTATGTCCTGCAAACAAGTGCTATATTGCTGATGTATACATGTAAAAAAAAAAAAAAAAAAGCTGGATCACTGGGCTGAAAGTCACTAGTTTTCTAATTTTGAAAGTACTTATTGTGCATCTGGGTTGCTTAGTCAGTTAAGTGTCTGACTTCAGCTCAGGTCATGATCTCATCATGGTTTATGGTTTTGAGCCCTGCATCGGGCTCTGCACCGACAACCCAGAGCCTGCTTCATATTCTCTGTCTCCTCTCTCTGCCCCTTACCTGATCATGTTTTGTTTTGTTGTTTTTTTTCCTCTCTGTCTCTCTAAAATGAATAAATAAATACACATGAAAAGAAAAGAAAAAAAAGTACTTGAATAGAAATGGGCATCTTTTTAGACCTTAGTTTTTGTGTCTGTAATATGGGAAATTGGGTTAATATGTTGATTTTATACCCATTGACTTTGATAACCCACCTACTAATTCCAGAAGTTTGACTGTTTCCTTTTGGATTTTCTTTATATCAATCATGCTGTCTGTAAATTATGACAGTTATATTTCTTCTTTTCCAATCCTTATACCTTGTTTTTTTCCTCTCATTGTTGTACTAGTGGGGACCTTCAATATGATATTGTGGTGATAGACTTTTTTTGTTTCTTCTAGATCTCCATGAGAAAATTTTAATGTGTTATTACTAATTGTATTGTTTCTTCTAGATTTCTTGTAGATAATGTTATCAGATTAATTTAGTTCCCTTTTATTGCTCATTCACTAAGAATATAGAATTGTATTAAGCAAGTTTTCTGCACATTTTGAGACAATTAAATGTTTGTTTTTTTTTGTCTCTGTTAATATCCTTCAGAAGTGTTGGTATCTAAATTATGCTTTTCCTCAAAAAAAGAGTAAAAAAAAAAAAAAGAAGAGAAAACCTGCCATTACTTAGTTTTTTAAATGTTTGGAGGAATTCACCGATACAGCAACCTGAGCCTGGGTATTTATTTGAGGAAAGGTTTACACATTGCAGATTCAATTATTTTTAATAAACGTAAGACCATTAAAATTTTCTATTTCTTTTTGTGTCAGCTTTCATAAATTGTATTCTAGGAATTTGTTATTTTTATTTAATTTTCAAGTTATTTGGCATAAAATTATATATAATATTCTCCTTTTAAAACTAATCTGTGTCAGGATGCCTGGGTGGCTCACTGGGTTAAGCATCCAATTTCACCTCAGGTCATGATCTCATCATTTATGAGTTAAAGCCCTGTGTCAGGCTCTGTGCTGACAGCTCAGAGCTTGGAGCCTGCTTTGGATTCTGTGTCTCCATCTCTCTCTGACCCTCCCCTGCTCATGCTCTGTCTGTCTCTCTCTCTCTCTCAAAAATATATATAAACATTAAAAGTAAAAATGAATCTGTATCTGCATTATTATTTAAGTTCTTTTACTCTTTATAGTGGTAATTGGTGCCTTCTCTCTTTTTTTCTCAGTTCTGCAAGAGGTTTATAAATTTAATATTATTTTTTATAACATAGCTTTAAGGTTTGTAGATTTTCTTTGTTTTCTATTTTATTTATGCTGTTATTTTTATAGTTTTTATGCTTTCTTCTGGTATGACTTACTGTTTTTCTAACTTTCCAAAATCAACAATCACATTATTGATTTTTAGCCTTTTTTATTTTAGTAATATATGCATTTAAGGCTTAATTTTTCCCTAAGCTATGCTTTTATCTAATTATTTTCTACTGACCTAATTTTTAGCTCACTCATCCTGCTTCCATTTGTGTCCAGTGTTCTTGAAACTGATTTATTAAGTTCAATTGTTTTAAAATTTATAGCCAATTCTTGTTTTGTTTAATTGATTCTGGTTTTCTAGTAAAATTCATTACTTGATCTCTTTTAAAAAAATGTTAATCATAGTTATTTTTAAAGTCCAAATCAAAGAACTCCAACATTTAGGTCAATTTCTTTTGTGTTTTATAGTTGCCCCACAGAGGGCAACTCTTCCTCACCCACACAGAAAAAGTGGCTTGCATTTAGAGACTGATGATGCAGCACACCAACAGATGGGGTGAGCGGGTTCATTAGACATAAAAAAGGACTTTTGAGGAAGAGCAGAGCAGGCCCACAAGCTAGTCCTGAGTAGCTTCAGCAAAAACAAGAAAAAGTGGTTTTGGGTTTTATTTTGTTAGAGGGGTGGACTGGGGTCGAGACCTCCATGTGTGACCTGGGCTTTGAATGGTTCAAACTTCCCTGTTGGCATCGAAAAAAAGGTGGGCTTTCGTACGAGGTTGCCCAGTTGTGGGGCAAGATGGAAAGGGGGGAGTGGAGCTTAAGAGCTGTCAGCAGTCAAACATTCAAAATGGAGTAAGATCCTGAATTATGATTCACCCCTAATGTTTGATGACTGGAATGTGCAATGTTTCATTTAATTGAATTTGAATTTGTTTAAGCTGTTATGGAGCTCTATGAGGCTTCCAAAATGGAGGCAGACTTTTTTTTTATAGCATCTGTTTTTATTATTTGATTTTTATCTTGATTATGGCCTTTTAAAAAACAAGTTAGGTAATTTTTTATTGAATGGCAAACATTTGTATGAAAAAATATAAAGGATCTGTGTTTTAGTGTTTTGGGCTGCTAGAAGAAAACACCATAGACTGGGTGGTTTATATACAACAGAAATTTATTTCTCACAGCTCTGGAGGCTGTGAGTCTCAGGTCCCAAGGGCAAGGCAGGAGAATGGATGCATTCTGGTGAAGGTCCTCTTCCTGGGTCATAGCAGGTGCCTTCTCACTGTGTCCTTACATAGTGGAAGATGTAAGGGATCTCTCAGGAGTCTTTTGTAAGAACATTAATCCCATTCATGAGGGCACCATCCTCCTGACCTTAGAGACTCTCAAGCCTCCACTTCCAATATGATCATATTGGGCATTAGGATTTCAACACATGAATTTTGGCAGACAGATAACCAACATTCCGACTCTGTAGTTAGGCTACTGCTTTCTCTTTCCAGAAAGTATTCACTGTACCCTAAAGGGCAGCAGATGTTGTGATGAGCACCGGGCATTGTATGGAAGTGTTGAGTAACTAAATTTTACACCTGAAACTAATATTACACTGTATGTTAACTGGAATTAAATA